ATATATATATGGAGAAAGAGAGAGAGAGAGAGAGGGAGACAGAAATATATCAGGATCTAGGCAGATATTGGCAATTACATTATAGTATGTCAAATTTGTATAACAGGTGGCCCGTATTTTTGCACGTTCAGTGATTCCATGGTGGTTGATCAAACACCACAACCACTGAAACATGGAGACGTAGTGGAGCTGGTGCATGGAATGACAAATCATGCCCTTAACAGCCACAACGTCGCGGCACCCTTAACCCCATCAAGCCAAGAGGTCACCTGTTACATTGATCACAATGTCTCCAGTCCTGCACACACACTGTGGAGGATCGTAAGTCATAAATCACCTCTGGCGCTGGCTATGGGTGAAGTCAGTCTACTTACTCTCGCTCTTTCTCTCTCTCTCACTCTTTTGTTATCACCTCCCCCCTCCCTCTCTTGCTTGAAGGTTAGGTTGAAACTTGTTCGGTCTGAACAGGTTTCTAACCAGGAAGTGGGACAGTCGTTTGCACTTTCAGTACTTCCCCAGTGAGTCTTAGTGACCTTAAACAATTATGCTGCATGTAACTCGGAACGAGTTTGTGAAGAAAACATTTTGAAGTATATCTATAATGTTTAGTTATCAACACTAATATTTCACTCCTCGTGGTAGAGATGACAATTGGTGGAAATTATGCATGATGGGAGTGGTGCAGATATACAGCCTACACAATTAGGCCTGCATATGGCAATGTGATAGATTAATAGATCTGCGACTGAGTGCAAGTGGCTTTAAAACGCATATTAATGTTATATACTCGATAGGAAAATCAACGAGCAAAGATAACTGCGATTTAAAATGTGTAAAATAGCATTGCCATAATGAGTCAAACGTAAGGTGAACGTAAAACGAAAGACCTAGCTAATGCTTCTGTAGAAATATCCTCGCATGCATGATGTACGGGGCGCCATGCAGGACAGGCATTTTTGTACCTATAAACTTGACAAAAATGAGTTTTGTGGACCAAAACTCAATTTTGTCTAAAAAAACTCAATTGAATAAAAATTGAATAAAAAAACTCAATTGAATTGAATCAATTTCAAATTGAATCAATTTTCAATCAATTTTGAATCAATTTTCAATTTTGAATCAATTTTCAATTTTGAATCAATTTTAAATTTTAAATTGAAAAAACTCAATTTCAATTGAATAAAAAAACTCAATTCTGTCTCACAAAACTCAATTTTGTCGCACAAAAGTCAATTTTGTCTCACAAAACTCAATTCTGTCTCACAAAAGTCAATTTTGTCTCACAAAACTCAATTCTGTCTCACAAAAGTCAATTTTGTG